ATAATTGCAAGGAAGCATTTATTTTGTGTATTCTGTAAGTCAGGCTATTATAGCACCTTCAATGTGGAGAGGGTACATAATCCTTTATAGCCTTATTTTCGGGAATGTTACCTTTAAATAGAAATTTTTAGAGTGGGAGGGGTGGGGCGGGAGAGCTGCAATATTGCATGCCTTACATGTATCAGTTTCTTTCCCAGATGACGGGTTTCGTTCTTGCTTTTCGTGGGGTCCTTTAAGGTGGGGGATTGGCTCTGGGACTGGGTTAAATTTTCTTGTGTGTGATAGGTTATGGATGTTCTGATTAATTGTAAATTGTTCTCCCTCAACGTGAAAGGGATCAGGGACAGAGATAAAAGGGAACGCATATTTTTCTGGTGTAAAGATAAAGGGGCGGACATTGTTTTCCTACAAGAAACATTTAGTACTAGCGATTGTGAGGACAAGTGGGCTTCAATGTGGGAGGGTTCTACTTATTTAAGTCATGGTTCTAATCACAGTAAAGGAGTTCTCGTTTGATTGCGCCGAGGATAGATATTGAGATATTGCAAGTCTTAAAAGACAGTGAGGGTAGATATATTTTTATAGACTGTAAGTTTCAAGGTGTTAGGTTGATTTTAGGCAATGTGTATTTTCCAACAAGAAATTTTGAGAGTGATCAATTGCAATTTCTTCGAAAATTACGCAATAATCTGGCTAAGTTAAATAAAGATAACTACCCGGTTATATTAGGTGGTGATTTTAACATGATTAGGGACATTGAATTTGATTATAACGGGAAATCTTCAAACAGGATTTCGAAAAGATTTAATCGAGAATTTGAAAAATTCATGGAAGATTTGCAGCTTTTGGATATTTGGAGATGTAGGCATTCTTTAAAAAGGCAATTCACTTATATGCAAAACAATCCCTTTATGCAAAGTAGACTAGATTACTGGATAATATCAGAATGTCTAGAGGAAATGGTTATGAAGTGCGATATAATTCCATCTGTTGCCCCTGATCATCATTCAATATTTTTACGTTTATTTGACAAAACAGTCAATAAAACGAATGGAAGAAAAGGGTCATATTGGAAATTCAATAATAGTTTATGTGAAAATGAAGATTATGTTAGAGAGTTAAAAAAGAAAATTTGTCAATTAAAAAACGAACTGCAAACTAAAATAAAAGACAAAAGGTTGTTATGGGATTTTTTAAAAAATGAAAATACGGAGCTTTACACAAAAATTTTCAAAAAATTGGCTGATCAAAGAAGAACAATAAGAACAGATTTAGAAAAAGAAATACAATGTTTAGAACAACAATTGACGGAAAGCACTAATGCAGATACTTTAGAAAAATTGGAAAATACAAAAAAGAAATTAAAGGAAGTTTATAGCTATGTAAATGAAGGAATTAGGATTCGATCACGAGCCTCGTGGTACGAAAGCGGAGAAAGGGATTCGCGTTATTTCAATCAATTAATGCAAAATAACAAAAGAAAGAGTACTATTAAAAAATTAAAACCTCAGATGGTGCTATTTGCTGCGATGAAAAAAGGATAACTGAAGAAATCCGGAAGTTTTACAGCATGTTGTACAGTAAAGTAGAGTACGAGTGCTCGGATAATTGTTATAATAGTTTCTTTCAAGGTTTACCGAAATTGACTGAAAAATCTCGAGAAAACTGTGAAGGATCTATAAGTAATAAAGAATGCCTAGAAATCTTACAAGAATTAAAACAGAACAAATCACCTGGAAATGACGGTTTTTCTTCAGAATTCTATCGTACCTTTTGGCCGGATATTGGAGATTTAGTTAAAGATGCCTTGAATGAAGCATATAGATTAGGAGAATTAGCATCGTCTCAAAACAAGCTGTAATTACGTTAATCGCTAAAGATGGGAAAGATCCCTTTTCACTGAAAAATTATAGACCCATTTCCCTTCTTAATGTCGATTATAAAATTTTAACAAAAATTTTGGCTAAGCGAATCAAGAAAGTATTAAATGAGATCATTATGGGAGATCAGGTAGGCTACATGAAAGGGAGGAATATTGGTGAGGCCATTCGCATTATAGATGATATTATTTTTCATACATCCCGTTACAATTTATCTGGTTTTTTGTTAGCTATAGACTTCGAAAAAGCTTTTGACTCAATTTCACATCAATTTCTTCAAAAAGTTCTGTCGTCATTTGGTTTCGGTCCATCCTTTCAAAAGTGGGTTAAAGTTTTATACACGAACACTCTAAGTTGTGTATTAACTGAAGGAGGGTCCACTGGTTATTTCAAAGTAGAAAGGGGAGTAAGACAGGGAGACCCTCTTTCTCCGTACCTCTTTATCTTGTGTATTGAAGTAATGGCACACAAATTACGAATAGATAATTTGGTGGACGGAATTAATTTTGGAGATAAGGAAACTAAACTAGTAACTTATGCGGATGATATGACAATTTTTGTTCGCAATAAAAAATCAATTAATAGGTTAAAAGTATTATTTGCAGATTTCGAAAAAATTTCTGGACTGAAAATAAACAACGACAAGACTAAAATATTAAGGTTAGGTTTATGTCAACGTTTAGATTGTGATTTTGCTTTTGGCGAAATAGTTGACTTTCTTAAGGTTTTAGGGATTTTCTTTTCCCTCGATGAACACAAGAAAGAAGATCTAAATTATAAAGAAATCTTAAGTAAAATAAAAACACTTTTAAATTTTTGGAAGCAAAGAGATTTAACACTTATGGGTAAGATTCAACTATTGAAGGTGCACATTTATTCTAAAGTTCTTTATCGGGCGTCACTTACTCCTGTTCCAAAATGGGTTTATGATTCACTGGATGAATTAACTTTTGATTTCATATGGAAAGGAAAAACAGATAAAATCAATAGAAACACCATGTTCTTAGACTATAAGCAAGGGGGGTTAAAGATGTTAAATTTTTCTGCACAAGTTAAATCGCAGCGAATTATGTGGATTCAAAAACTTCTAAACAAAGATGAAGACATGAAATGGAAACAATATTTTAACTTTGTCACTGAACACGTGGGTGGAGATTTGATATTTTCATGTGACTATATACCAAGTTTATTAAAAGTGAAAGCTCCACAATTTTATATGGATTTATTAGAAGATTGGGTGAATACAAGACATATAAGGAGTATAGACATTGGTGATGTGGTAATTTTTAATAATAAACTTATTCGATATAAAGGAAGTTGTATATACGATAAGAGGTTGTATGACAAAGGAATTTACAAATTAAAACATATTCTGGAAAACGATGGTAAACTAAAATGTGACAGGCATTTTATCGATTTAGGTGTTGAAGTAAATGAAATTGAAAAGATCAAGCACTTTTATGCATGTTTACCAGTTTGTTGGAAAAATATTTTAGAAAGGGAGAAGAAAAAAATAATTCTGGAACTGATTTCACTTTGGGGAAGAAAACAACTAATATAGCTGATCTAAAATCAAAACAAATTTATGTACAATTAATAAAGAAAGATGATTTTAAACCTTTGGTTTTTGAGAGAATTGGAAGGAACTATGGTTTTTCCTGTAAGGAAATAGAAAACATATTTTTAAGACTAAGACAGTGTACACTTAACAGTCGATTAAGAGAGTTTCAGTTCAAACTTATACATAATATATTATATACAAACCATCACCTCTTCCGTTTTGGTCTTGTCTCGACTAAGTTATGCTCATTTTGCGAAAAAGATGAAGAAACATATAAACATTTATTCTATACTTGTGAATTTGCACAATCAGTGTGGGGAATGTGCACGAGATTTTTAGACTTTGAAATACACAACTGTAGTTTGGAGGAAATTCTGTATGGGAAAGAGGAGAGTAATAAAGGAAAATATCAATTAATGAATCATGTTTTAATTCTTGTTAAATATCTGATTTATAGAAATAGAGAACTTAAAAACCACCCTCTTTTAATGAAATAAAGAATAGTATAATAGGGGATAAAGTAGAAGAAAGGAAATTGGCTGCAATGAGGGGAACTCTCACTATTCATTTTTCGAAATGGGAAAACCTGAGTATTAGACAAACAATTGGAACCCAGAGCCAGTCGTCCACCGGTTAAGAGGGGGGGGGGGGGGAGGGGGATAAGGGAGAGGTCGGGTAGGGTAGGGTTAACAAAAGAGAAAACTTTTTTCTCAGGACAACAGTATAAAAGAAGTATAAGTTGCTACATTGTTAAAACAAAAATTTTGGATTATATAACTGCATATGTTTTCTTTGAAAATATGAATTTTTGTGTCGAATATGATGTATAGGAACTAACTATGTAAGTTTTCTTTGAAGTCGTTTGTAAGACAAAATTTATACTGATTTATAATGTCATCACATTTGCAGTGAGTGTTACATATGATGATTGTAATTTGTACTATGATTATAATTTGTTTCAAGAGAGAAAAGAATAAAAACTGACCATAAAAAAAAAAAAATGTAGAAGAAAGGAAATTGGCAGCAATGAGGGGAACTCTCACTATTCATTTTTCTAAATGGGAAAACCTGAGTATTAGACAAACAATTGGAACCCAGAGCCAGTCGTCCACCGGTTAAGAGGGGGGGGGGGTGGGGATAAGGGAGAGGTCGGGTAGGGTAGGGTTAACAAAAAGAGAAAACTTTTCTCTCAGGACAACAGTATAAAAAGAAGTATAAGTTGCTACATTGTTAAAAAAAATTAAAAAAAAGGATTATACAACTGCATATGTTTTTTTTGAAAATATGAATTTTTGTTTCAAATATGATGTATAGGAACTAACTATGTAAGTTTCTTTTGAAGCCGTTTGTAAGAGAAAAATTTATACTGATTTATAATGTCATCACATTTGCAGTGAGAGTTACATATGATGATTGTAATTTGTACTATGATTATAATTTGTTTCAAGAGAGAAAAGAATAAAAACTGACCATATAAAAAAAAAAAATGTATGTGCCCCCAAAACATCAAACTCTGGCTACGTGCCTGAGGGGTAGTACCTGCAAAGGTCACCTAGATATCACAGGATAGTGCAACCCTGGTTGCTCTCCTTGTACTTCATAACCTTGTCGCCAACGATGGCGCATTGATAGAGGGCTTCGAGCAGGACGAGATGCTTCTCGGCATCGTACCCGTGATCGTCCGTGGTGTAGTTCTCGAGCTCGTACACGTAGTCGATGCGCTGCTGCTGCAGACCGGTTCGGAAAGCAATGATCACCTCCTCCCGTACCTCATGGTGTCTCCGATGAGTGATGATAACGATCGGTGATGGCCTGCCAAGCATATGAGATGGATTCATTGAGTAATATCACAAAACCAAAAGAACTGAAGTTCGGTCACGGAATGTCTACTTTAGAAGGATGTTTATTTCGCAAACGCCAAATTATTGCGCAAAATACCAAAGTATGGTAGGAAAGTTAATTTTCGTAATCATACACACATATTCAGGTATTAGAAAATTACTACTGTGTGCTCTACCTGCGGGCGCTGCAATTATCATTACCCTACCAGATACCCATTAATGTCTAGACAAAAGACGAGAATCGAACCCTCAACTCTTGGTCAAGTGAATGGACCACTATACCACGACATCTATAGGGAGGTTTTTTGTAGTTTGGTCGTCCTTTTTTCTTTCTTTTTTATCTAATTTTGAATTTCCGATAGGGGCTTGAGCACAGTTCGCCAAATATGTGGAAGACCAATGGAAATGAATGTACAAATCGCTATCATGACGGCCTATGTTTTTAAATATTTTAAATTATATTCCACATAGGCCTACTAAGAATCTTGCTCTACAATTGGTCAAAAGTAAATCACGTGATGAAAGATAGTTTGCCCATCATTGCTGGGAGAAGCAAAAAGTTCGTTACACTATGTAGATAGGCTACTATTTACACAGTGCAACGCACTTTCACTGAAGATAGAAGTCCTATCTACGCAGTGCAATGCACTTTATACGCTGCGTATTGCTCTCCTCTTTAAGCGTTTTTAGTGTTAGTACGGTGTTAGGTCACACCACCATACTGCATGCACTGTGTACGTATCGTACCCGCCCCCTCCCCCCCCCCCCAACTCAGAGTTATTTAGGGTACGCATATTCGTGTTCCCAGCGACCCCCCCCCCCTTTTTTTTCAGCAAAAGTCCGGTGTGTAAAGTGAATACGGGTCGACCTTTTCTTTCGTTATACGAGCCTTTTTCAGCACCCCCTTTTCAGCATAAGTCCAGTGTGTAAAGTCTGGGAACATGCATGGCATCCCTCCGTTCACGGAGTGGGGGGGGGGGGGGGGGAATGGCCGCGGTATCGTACACCGTCTGCTAGCTGGTAATTGATGACTTGTTGCTCTAAAATGACTAGAGAAGTGAAATGTCTCCGATGTGGAATATAAAGCAAATAATCACCTTTTGGTTTCAGGCGATGGCAAACTATCACTTCCTCGCTTCGGAAATATAACTACATCCAGATCGCCTCGGAAGTGATAGTTTGTCCCATCACCTTCACCAACGGTGATTATTAAATGTTTGCTTAATATCAGTGGGAGATTCGGAAGTGGTTCTATACCATTCTTTCTTTCTTTTTTTCTCGCCGTTTCTTCACCCCACCCCTTCTCTCTCTCTCTCTCTCTCACACACACACACACACTCTATCAGGCGCGTACGCAGGATTTTGTTCAGGGGGGGGGGGGGGGGGGGGGGGGGGGGGGGGGGGGGGGGGGGGGGGGGGGGGGGGGTTTAACATTTTCAAATCAGGCCGATAATTTCGCACTCGACTCTGCCAGCCGCTGAATAAGCGGGGCCGGGGGGGGGGGGGGGGGGGGGGGGGGGGGGGGGGGGGGTAAGAGGACACTTTTTTTTTTTTTTTTGGTCTTGAAATTTTAAAAAATTGACATTTTGCTCCGTTGGGGGGGGGGGGGGGAGTTAGGTCACTTTTGGGGGGGGGGTTTATACACATAAAAATACCAAAGGGGGTTTAACCCCCTAAACGCCCCCCCCCCCCCCGCGTACGCGCCTGCACTCTATCTCTCTCTGTCCCTTGAAGTTCTGTCTCTGTGTGTGTTTGTGTGCGTGTGTGTGTGTGTGTGTCTCTCTCTCTCTCTCTCTCTCTCTCTGTCCCTCCCTACCGCTATCCCTTCTTCCCCTTGTTACGCCACTGTTCAGTAGTGATGTAATCATACCTGTCATAGACTTGATCTGCTCAATGAGTTCCTTCAGGTCTGTGGCTCGAAGACTCAGGTTCAAAGCACTTTTTATTCAAAACAAAATAGGAAGAAGGAAGCAATAAAGATGCAAAGCATTCCTAAATTTCCTGTTGTATTGCACAGTGTCAATGATCTGGTACTACTGCACAAAGCCCGGTTCGATATTGTGAATTTAGCTTTGTTGGGCAAGTACAAAACAAGAATATTCGCCATGTTATAACCGACTGAAACTATGTTGGCATGGTAACAAAATCTTATTAATATGAATTATTTATATTAACATATTTAAGGTACCTCACCTTCTTATTAATTTTTTTTTTCGTCCCTCATTTTGACAATGATTTATTCCTAATAGATCTAGATAATAGTATACGTTCTCAGGTTTTATTGAAAAATAGTTTGCTAGGGTTTGTTTTGGGTGACTGCTAAAGCATGTGTGTCAACTATGTTAATCAACTGGGAGACCTACGTCCTTAAGTCATAACTGACAGTAAAGAGGTTTAATGCCTCACAAAAGGGCACTTATAGGCATATTGACACGGTTTTGATCCTGGGGCCTCACAGTTACGAGGCCATTGCTTAGCCACTAAATCATGACTGTAGTGTACGCAGCGGGGGCTACGGTACGGGGCCGCTCCCACAAAATACAAAAAATACAAAGAAAATGCAATAAATTATCAATAATTCAAGGCATTTTCCTACGGTCCCAAACAGGAACTTTTGTAGGGCCATGCATTATAGTTCAAGGAATGGCCACACAGAGGAATAAGTTATGGTCAGAAAACTCAAAATCATTAGGGTAAAAATAATTATTCCACCATAATGACCAACAGTGTAGATTTTTTTTTTAAAGTGTTTACCAACTAATAAGTAACGATGTAATACATCTTGTTAATAATAATAATTATAATTATTATTATTATTATTAAATGTAGATTTGTATTAATATTTTTTCATTTGTTTATTCTATTAAGCCTTTATTTGCCCACACGAGGCCAGAAGGTGTTCCAATAAAGCTCAACTTCAACTTCAAGTAGTCAGCAACAGCGTCAGCTATGACATAGATATGAACAAGCTTGCAGCGGAGCAAGCAAAGTTTTTTTATTACAGGTAATTCTGATTGTGAAGAAAGAACTTATTTTCTACAACCACCATAATAAAACAAGGGATGCATGATCCACACATTCATGCTCAAGCGCCGCCCCCCCCCCCCCCCCCCCCCCCCGCGTCATACGCACCCAGTAACATATTCGAATAAAAAGTTTTGGGTATGGGGTAATGAATTCGTTTCAAATGAACATATTTGAAGCATATGCGATCCTACAATATTCAGTGATCGTTGTCGCGGGTGAAATCGAGTCTAAAGTTAAGAAATTGTAAATAATAAACTATTTATGTTGTATAGCTCCCTCTCAAGTTCAAGTTTTAATCAAGGTATAAAACAATGTTTCTTGATCAAAATCGACCGATTAGCTATTCCCGTTTGGAAATTATAAAAACTACATATTCTGAGATGTTCATGGTCGCAGCTACCATTGTACGGCCGTATAGGCGCTATTGGAAATTTATCAAAATTTATCGGGAGCACCGGTAAATTTTATATTCAATTTTTCTCAAAAGCAGAAGTGTTTTAGAGGCTAAATTTTCTAGTGCTTATAATGCATCCACAGGGGGCATCGAAATATATCAAAATTGTAAAGAATCTCTATCCACCCAATTTTCAAAATTTCCCAAAACTTTGTATTACCTTTAATTTCGGAGTTCTTCTAGAGCTATAGATTCTTTCAAAATATCACGTTAAATTATGCTAACGCAAGGAGCATCAAACGACCAAACACCATGATAATAGAATTAAATATACCTGATAACAAGGACAGCGCAGTGGATCTCACAGTCTACCTTTGCTCTGAAAGTCCTCTCGAGCCCGGCCACCACACGCCGCAGAAAACCGTGGTCCCATTCAACACTCTGCTCGTCGTTGTACACACCAGCTATTACATTACAAAGGTAACAATAAATAAATAAATGAATGAATGAAAGAATGAAAAAAGTGGATAAATACATTTAAAGATAAACTTGAGTTCTGGTAAAAAAAAGAAAATGAATTCTCACAGAATCTAACGAAACTTACACTGAATGTTCAAGATTACAAATAAATGTCATGTGCCAAACAATTTTGGAAGAAAATGTATACTGGCTGAGTAATGCGCATAGAAAGATAAGGAAATCAGGGTAGTACTAGCCCCGACACCATGTGTGTTGTCCCATATACATCTATCTGTGTAAGTGATTGTTACTTTACCAAGACTCTACCAAATTTATGATTATTTTGATGACTCTAGAACCTTGCATTACACACCATTACTTACATGCTATAATTTTTTTTTTATGATCAACTTTTCTGATCCATTCCACACCTTTTCTTTCACACTGCAATCGCATTACCAGTACTCAAGTTTATCTTTAAACAAATGAAAGAATGAATGAATATATACAAAAAATGAATAAATGAATAATAATGAATAAATATTATATAAACAAAAAGATTAATAGATACACAAATACAAAAATAAATAAATGAACAATCGTAAAATAAATATATAAATATACAAGCTAATAAATAGACATAATTATGAAAATATATATATTTACAGAGTCAGTTTTAATGCTCACGTAAAATACCAGTTATGTACATTCAGTATCAAGAGGCAGTGTTACGGCGGGGTGGGGCAAAACCCCTGTAGTCACTGCACCCCCCCCCCCCCTCCCCCCCCCCCCCCCCCCCCCCCTCCACCCGACTTCGATAACCTCTTAGTCAGAAGAAAAAAAGTCAACACTTTGAACAGGCTGGTCATGTAGGTCTGTACTTTCATGATGACCATGCACAGATAATGTTACTTTTTTTCGAGAGAGGGAGGGGGGCAACAGAGAGCATGACAATTATACGGTGACTGTCACCACTTAGAACTATGAACTTTGATATATTATGTCAATCTGAGACCTGGTTAAATAATTTTATGCTAGTGAAATTGGAAAAATAAATGGGTACTCCCTCTATCGGCGAGATAGAAATGATGGTCGCCAAGGTGGTGGCGTATGTAAAAAGCACCTTATCATTCATTGAGAGAAGTGATCTTTATGACAATTCCCTTGAATTAATCTGGCTGGAAATTCAAGGGCTGAAACTAACAAAGTTACTTGTTTGTTGTATTTATAGACCTCCTGATACAAATATTTTGAGAAGATCACAGACAATTTTGAGAAGGCAAATGACAGGATGAAATTACTTATACTCTGGGATTTCAATGTCGATTACAAACTTAATGAAACTCTTCATGATAATCCTGTGCATTGCTTGGAGAATTTATTTCTATTAACCCAATTGGTCACCAAACCCACGACAGTTACTACAAAAATCAGCAACTTGTATTGATCACATTTTGAGCACAATACCTGTAAAACATATTTTAATTGACGTATATCATTGAGTGATCACTATCTCGTACATACTGTCATTGATTTAAAGAATACAAAAGAAATTCATAAAGTGAGACGGTCTCCGGATTTCAAGCAATTCGATGAAGCCCGATTCCTTGAAGCTATTAAAACCAATAATATTTTTGAATTGTCAAATGAAAATTCTCAGCCTCTGACTTTGGCATGGAAATCCTGGAAAGGAACTTTCTTGAAAATAAGTGATGATTATTCACCTTTTAAAGAAGTACGGGTAAAAGATCGACATTGCCCTTGGATTACTAATGACATTATTCAGCTCATGTATAAACGAGATCAACTGAAGAGTAAAGCTGACTCAACGAAACATCATGATGATCATTGTGAATATGTGAAGTGTAAGAATTATGTAAACAGATTAAGAGATGAAAGAAAAAAGGCTTATTTCAATGATGTGTCTGAGAAATATAGTAATAACGGTAAGAAATTATGGAAAGAAATACAACAGGTTACAGGCATGACTAAAAATGATAGTTCATCATCTTGTTGTATAGACAGTGATAAAATGAATGATTTCTGTGTTAATGTTGGTAATAATATTTCACAACCATTTCCTCAAAGTAAGTCTATTAAATGGAAAAACCCAGCATACATGTATGAATTCAAAATAGAGTCTCTGAAAAAGGAGAAAATACTTAAATATTTGCTTCTTTTAGATAAAAAATAGTAATACTGATGTACTAGGATTTGATACAAGGTTACTTCAAATAGCAGCACCATATTATATATGAATCATTAACAGTATTAAATTGAAGCATACAATGTGGAGATGTACCAGAAGACTGGAAATTGGCTAGGACAACTCCAATATATAAGGGAAAAGGTGCAATGAATGAAAACACACTACCGTCCCATCTCTGCTGTATTAAGCCATATCCCTAAAATAATATTAAAACTAGATGGAATTCGACTGCGCGCAGTCGAAAATGATGCCTCCGTCATAGAGCAATTTTACAAACCAAAACAGAAGAAATTTTTCGAATTCAAGTTCAATTGTAATCCATTGACAGGTTCTCAGAAAATCGTGATTACAAGCAATTTCTCATATACATATATGACCCTTTGATCTTTGACCTCATGACCCTAAAATCTACTCAGTTCATTGGCTCTGCAAGATGTCCTGAGTTAAATAGTAATCCATCTGTCAGTTCTAATGAGAATGCGTTCACAAGCTATTTTTGCATACATAATGAGCCCATGACCTTTGACCTTTGACCTTATGAACCAAGAATCTACTCAGTTCATTGGCTCTGCAAGTAACATACATGACCTAATTTTGGCAGGAATCCATCAATCGCTTCTTGAGATAACGCGGTCACGAGCTGTTTTTGCATACATAATGTGCGCTTTGGCCTTTGACCTTTGACCTCATGACCCCTAAATCTAATCAGTTCATCGGCTCTGCAAGTAACATACATGACCTAAGTTTGGCAGCAATCCATCAATCGATTCTTGAGATAACGCGATCACGAGCTGTTTTCGCATACATAATGAGCCCTGTGACCTTTGACCTTTAACCTCGTGACCCCAAAATCTAATCAGTTCATTGGCTTTGCAAGAGACATACATGACCAAAGTTTGGCAGGAATCCATCAATCGGTTCTTCAGATAACGCGGTCACGAGCTGTTTTTGCATACCTAATGAGCCCTGTGACCTTTGACCTTTGACCTCGTGACCCCAAAATCTAATCAGTTCATCGGCTCTGCAAGATACATACATTACCAAAGTTTGGCAGGAATCCATCAATCGGTTCTTTAGATAACGCGATCACAAGAACGGGACGTACGTACAGACGTACGTACAGACGTACGGACGGACGGACGGACGGACGGACGGACGGACAACCCGAAAACATAATGCCTCCGGCTACTTCGTAACGGAGGCATAAAAAGAAATCCAGAAACAACTGTTACGTTATCTCTTAAACACAATCTTATCCATACTGAACAACATGCTTTCCTACCGAAACATTCAACGACAACTTTTTCGCATAGAGTTGTCGATGAATTTCATGATGCATTTAATGAAAAAGAAAAGTTGGGGCATGTTTCTTAGATATATTGAAATGTTTCGATAGTGTAGACCATGATATTCTACTTTTCAAAATGCAGCAATAAGGTATTGCTGAAAACATGCTAAGATGGTTTCAAGTTATCTGAAGGAAATAAAACAAGTTGTATTCTCACAAGGTAAACTTTCTGCACAAAAGGAACTGTCAGTAGGGGTACCACAAGGAGAAGTACTTGCCCCGATCATATTTTTTACTTTTTACCAATGATATATCACAATCAATGAAATCTGGTGTCAGGCGCGTACGCAGGGGGGTGTTTGGGGGGTTAACCCCCCCCCCCCCCTTTTGTATTATTATGTGTGTAAACCCCCCTAAAAATCCCTAACCCCCCCCCCTTTGTTTTTTTTAAAATTATTTTTTTTTTTAAAATTAAAAAAAAAAAATCACCCCCATGGCTGACCTAAGAAAGGTGACCTTACCCCCCCCCCCCCCCCAACGGAGCAAAATGTCAATTTTTCAAATTTTGAGACCAAAAAAAAAGTGTCCTCTTCCCCCCCCCCCCCCCCCCCCCCCCCCCCGCTTATTCAGCGGTCGGTTGATTGGTTGCGATTTTTTTGAGACCAAAAAAAAAAAAAAAAGTGTTCGCTTACCCCCCCCCCCCCCCCCCCCCCCCACTGAGCGACTTTTTGGCCGGCGCGATTTTCAAATTTTCCTGAGTCGTTGCGAAATTTTGGACCCCCCCCCCCCCCCCCCCCTTGAAAAAATCCTGCGTACGCCACTGTCTGGTGTTATAACAATGCTGATGATGTTATTTTATTCGAAATAGGGAAAGATGTGCAGACAATAACCTCTAGACTTCAATCAAATATTGATTCTATTAATGATTGGTACAAACAAAACCAAGTAAGGATTAATGTTGACAAAACAAAGAGTATATTACTGCACACGCGTTCTCATGACATTCTGAAAATATATATTGATGGAAATGAAAATGAGCACGTCAAGTCCATACGATACTAAGGCGTTGAAATTCATGAAAATTTAAAATGGAATATTCATGTAAATAACCTATGTAAAGCTATTGGATACAAGATTTGTTCTCTTGGAAAACTGAGGAAATATCTTAATTCTTCTTCACTGAACACTCTTTATAAATTTACAAGACAACCCTGCATCGATTATGGTATTTCTGTCTGGGCCAACAGTGCAGATAAACATAAAACTAAACTACAAAGAGCCGCACGTTATATGACTGGCAACTTTGACCTAAATGTTTCTTTCAACACTTTCAAAAAGTATTAACTTGGCAAGACATTAATGAAAGGAAAGACTATTTTCTTGCCACACAAATGTTTAAATGTATACATGGTCTAGCCTCTCCACAGCTTTGTAATGATATCGGTATGTTTTGTGAACGACATAATCACCATACTAGGAACAATGATAGTCTTAATCTATAGTATTTAAGGATAAGTAATGTTATAATTTTTCTTTTTGTAAGCACTTCATTGTTTTCTATATATGTTTTTGTTTTATCTTCCTTTTATGATCGTGTTATACTTTACATAATTATGTATGTTGTAAAATTGTAAAGCGCAATGTCAACAGACATGAAATGCGCTATAAAAGAACAAATAATAATAATTATTATTATTATTAATGTAGCCCCATCTGAAGTCCACCTCTTAATTTTTAAACAAGCCTTTAAATTTTCCGGTGCTAAGCGATGGAATGGCATTCCCCACTTTATATAAAATGCCCAAACAATTGAAACTTTTAAATTGATTTATAAGAAGTTTTATTTTTAATTTAATTTTTGTAAATATTTATATCGTTTGTACTTTTTCGTATTTTTGAATATTTTATAAATATGTATAATACAGTAGTATGTTATATATAATGATACTTACATTTCTGAGTTTTTACTATTTTGTTTCAATTTTAGGTCAACATTATTATGCAGTTTAATAAATTATTTTATTTGAAACGTTGTTATACATTTCACATGTGATTTGCTTTTTCAATGTTAACACGAGTTTTTTACAGGACTATGTTGAAAAACAGTATACCTGAACATATTATCATGTATAAACGTTTTTAAATAAATAAATAAAATAGAAATCATGATTAACTCGCCTATTTGATGGCCGAGTTCGACCATGAACGGCCCTCCAAGGCTCCTCATTCCACGATTATCAACCATGGTAATCTTCTCCGTCATCGGGAAAGCGTTACGGGTTAGAGTCTTGGAAGCTTCGATCGCGAAACCCTCGGGGGCTCTATTCTCCCACATCGGTCCCGTGGCGTAGTTCATGGAGTTGATCAAAGCTGACTTGCCCACGCCCGTCGGACCGAACAGCCCGATTCGGAGAGCAATTGGAGGTTCGGTTGGCCGATCTCGTGGAAGACGAAATGTTGAACCTGGGCTGTATGTGGATATGGCATCCTTCAGCTCATTAATTCGCTTTTCCACACGATGAGACATGTCAAACTTTACTGTCGAAGTATTCGCCTTCAGCTCCTACTCAGAATATTTCCATCCAGCACTACCTTATTGATTGATGATATTCCTCAGGGTGACTTGTTATAAATCCAGAATGTTATATTATTTGTTTTTGTAAACACTTGAAATAGCGGTAAGTATTGGTTTTGTCGCTACCTCTTTGTTTCTCTATTAAAGTCTAACGTATTCCGCGATGTAAAATTCCGTTATGTATTTGGTAATGGGTTTTCCCCGCGCAAATTAACCTCTAACCCATGCGGGGAATTGAGCAGAAGGGCATTGCGTTCATGTGCGAGAGCGCGAATGTGAATCATTAATGTGTTGTGCGACATGAAACATTTATTAGGGACTTTTAGATTTGCACGTCGACATAGTGGACTGCTACGTGTGACGTCCCGTTAAGGCACTTCACACGTAGCAGTCCCTATGTCGACATGCAAATCTAAAAGTCCCTACTATCATTGTGAGCAATATTAAGCACCAAATAAACGCACACAGCGGCGCAGCGAGGGTCCCATGCACCTCCCTTTTCTTTCTTTCTTTCTCAATTGTTCTTCAAAAATTTAAAGAGCAGATAAAAAGAGAAGAATAAAGACATTTCCATGAGGAAGAACAGATAAAGAAGGTGAAAGGAGAAAATCAATGAAATACTTCAGAGATGTAGAAATCTTAGAGGGTAAAAAGAGGAGAGAGGTCATAAGCTCACGAGACCGACCACGTGAGAGATCTCGTATCCCGGCTGTCGGTCTTGTGGGATGTTGTTCAATCGCCAGGATGATACTAATTACCGTTGTAAGCGCTTATAAACGTAGTATTAAGCGCTTTTAATGTGACTATTATTACAAATCAATGAAATCATTATTATTATTTGTCTCCTTTTTAATCATTATTATTATTATTATTATTATGATGATGATGATGATGATGATGATGATCTCATTCGTTTCGTCTTACTTGCCCTTGTATAGTCTTATATGCGACTGATTCAACAAAAACGAGGAAAGGGGAATTTCCAATAGGCAGGGGAAAACCAATGTTTTCGGTTACTGTACAACATGATTACATTCTAATTGCAATACAGCCAGCTCCCAGCCCAGCTATATAAACTCACAGAGAATAAAGGTTGGAGTTGGGTAAAACCCAGATCAAAGTCCATGTACATTTGGTATTCACAATAACCATTGTGCGAAATTAACATTAATGCGTGGGAGGAGGCTTCCATTTTTTTAATTAGCTTTGGCGTATTGGACATTTCACCATGGGGGGGGGGGGGGGAGCAGGAGCTGTGTTAATTTTGCAGAACAGGTCGATCATAAAGCCGTCTAGGTTAATATAAAGTTATAGACGTGACAGGCTTGCCACAACTTACAAACACATATCCCCACTTTTCACTTTTCTTTTTACTGCCCCTCTTTCTTTGCCATAACATAGATCCATCTCTTAATTAAACAAAGTACCAGTCTATACACATTTTGTAAAATGCTGAAAATTAGATTTATAAACTCATAATGCATGAATGTATGTGCCGTCGCCGGTCAGCTGCATTGTTGTCATTGAATCTAGGTTTGCTTGACTTTGGCTCGACTCAATCCTTTTCTCCCTCATTCCGCTGATCTAAACTCCCTTTTTAGAGCTATCATTCATTTTCCTTTTCTTCTTTCTTTCTTTTTTGCCAATTTTTTTCCTCTTTTCTTTTTTTTAATTTTTTTAATTTTTTTATGTTTATTCCCCCCCCCGTCAAAAAATAAATAAATAAATAAATCTTAATTTCTTTGCTACACATTTGGTAATCTATTGATTTTATAAATATACTTTGTTTTCAGGATTATTTTAAAACAGCCTCTGAGGAACTAATACATGTACTTCAAAAAGCTCTATTTCTAGTTAGTTCCTCTTCTCTCATGCTATTGCTGTTATGTTTGTCGTTTTATTGTATTTTTTGTTGTAATATACTTATTCATCGTATTATGTTTTGCATGAGAAATAAAATCATTTGAGCATCATTTGAACATAAATAAACCTAGCTGCTAATAACTGATGCTTTTCGTAATTCCCCTGTAGAGTGTGGAAAACAAACAAAAAATACTATAATCGAACAAAAATTCAACCTGTATAACCTTTTCAATAGGTGCTGACATCCTGCAATGTGTTGTATCCTTAAAGATAAAGGTGAGTTTTGGTAATGCGATTGCGTGGTGAAAGAAAAGGTCAGGAAAGGATCGGAAAAGTTGATCATGTAAGTATTGGTGTGTACTGCAAGGTTCTTGAGTCTTCAAAATCCAAATAAATTTGGCCCAGTCTTGGTAAAGTAACAAGCACCGTACACAGAGAGATATGGGACTACACAAATGGTGTCGGGGCTACTATACCTTGATTTCTTTGTCTTTCTTTGCTCATTACTCAGCCAGTATACATTTTCTTCCAAAATCGTTTGGCACATAACATTTATTTGTAATCTTAAATATTCAGTGTAAATTTTGTTTGGTTCTGTGAGAATTCATTTTCTTTTTTCACCAGAACTCAAGTTTATATTTAAGTCACGTATAGAGATGTGAGAAGTTCGAATAGGATTGTGTATATATGTTAAGCAGGAGCGGCTCAGCGACTTCCAAGGTGGCGGGGGGGGGGCACTTTCTGGAGAAAAGAAGGGCACCTACAAAGGGAAATCTCAAAGCGAGAATATACAATTTTTTAGACGTTGGTATATACCCTTATATTGTGATTATATTTTTAGGGATGATACATCAAACAAAAAATTGCTTAAAGGTAAAGACCAGTTATGGTCATGCGATTGCATTGAAAGAAACGTTGTGAAATCGATCAGAAAAGGTTGATCATCTAGCATCTAGCATCTGCAAGGTTCTGGAATCCTCAAAATGATAAGAAATTTGGCCCATAAGTTCTTCGTAAAGTTACAAGCACTATACACAGAAAGATGTATATGGGACTACCCTGTATCTCTCACAGACCATGAGAGAAACAAATTTACCAAATATATGAATTAGTATAAGCGGTTTCCAGGCAAATTTTTTTATCATCATGTATTAGTCAAAACATATTCTTTCACATGATTGGTAATGAGAGCTTCCATTTCATTTTTTGAAATTGGGGCGTTTCCAAAACTGGTCTTTACCTTTAAGTATCATAATTTGCCATTGGGTGTGATGGTCTGAATATTCAATTGCGAGCGAAGTGAGCGAGAAACAATTTTTAAATGTATGAGGTCGCAGAGCGAAAAATTATATATCTTATAACGAGTAAAAAAAAAATTAAAAAAATCCTGATGGGGGTATAAGCACATTCTCATATTAAGGAAAGACTGAAAAGACCTTTGATATATAAGTAACATAATTATATAATCTATAAATGCGAGCGAGTGTAGCGAGTAACCTGTTGGGGAAAATGCTCCGAGACGTTTTATAATCGGGGCACGTTTAATGATAAGAGGAAGGGACACTTTTCGGAAGGGATAAGACACCTGTTAGAAACGAAAAAGAGCACATGTCAAAATACAAAGTAATCATCGGAGGTGAAAATGGGGCACTTCTTACACCTGAATACGTGTTTGTGTGAGGAAGGAGAACATGTAGGAGCAGGAATTTCTTCCTTGTACCAGTAAGATAACCTCCAGATTTGTCAAAGTCTTTTTTTTATAGAATGAATTACGTTTACAATTGATTTGTAAATTATATTTATGTACTTTAAGCTCACTTTGTTTATTACTATTTACTGCAAATTATTATTATTTTTTATTATGTTCATGTTTAAGCAATTAATATTGAAAAGGTTTATTTATTTCATCCGATTGTAGTTCTTGTTTGTATTACATTTGGAGGAATAAAACTTGCTATTAAAAAAATATTGTACGTGCCTGTGCGCGTGTGTGTGTACGTGTGTGTGTGTGCGTGCGTGCTCTCACCTCAGCATTCTTGTGGGGTTTTATGTGCGCTTCACATACCCCTTGTGAGGCATTTTTACTTTGTGGGGTATTTTTTCAGGACCCCACAGAGTAAAGTCTTTCAAATGACTGTATATTCGGTGTCCTATGCCCTGCGGGGCATTAGAAGTGGTACCCCATAAATGACTTTTTGTGAGCGTGTGCTAAAACTTGCACACTTTTTTATGGTAACATCGTAAGCACACCGCCGGGTTGTTATCGCCAGGTTGTACATACCCCACTAGTAGGGGACCACAAGGTATATCTGGAACGCACAGAAATACCCCACAATCAGGTGCCCTACAAAGGCCCTGATGTGAGAGTGCGTGTGTGTGTGTGTGTGTGAGTGGGGTAATTTCCACAGTCACACATGCCAAGTCTCTCGGGATACAAATATTACCGGCCTTTGTATGTCGAGTTAAAAAGGGAAGAAGGGTGAAGGCACGTTGACCTGGTATCAAGGGCGGATCCAGCCTGCGGCAAGAGAGGGGGGGGGGGCATTCGTGAAAAAATATTTAGCGGCGACTAAGCCAGCCGGTGAATTAGCGGGGGGAGGGAAAGAAATTAATTCAGTTTTTTTGGGGGGTCGAACAAATATCGTAGGGGGGCACTTGTTTTTTGTTTAAAAAAGGTAAAATTAACGTTACCATCTTATTTTTTAGCAGTTCTTTTTCCTAGGGGCCCCCGGGTCTGTCGCCCCCCCCCCCCCCCCCGTGGATCCGCGTCATATTTTCAAGAGAATGGCTGCACCCATGCCATGCTAAAAAAACATATTACATCATGCTAAGAATATCTTAATTCATATATCTCTTGTACACTATCGTAAGGATTATTGTACATTAAAGGGCAAGAATACATCTTATTTTTCAGAATACCTACACTTACTCTTTGGGGTCAGGTTTTTCCTCTAAATAGAGGCCTCTGGCCCCTGACGTACACTCCTGCACGTTCCTCACTTATATAGACATAAATCGATGCGTGATATTTATCAGATAACAGTTTCCGTTCGTGGTCTTTTGAACAGGCGCAAAAAGGGATTAGCCCTTATTTATTTTATGAGCGAAGGACTCACCAGTCTATTGCAAAATGTCTCGTGATATTGATAAAGAGATTGATGAATTCAAGGAACAGATTGTTAGCTACACTCCGGGCTCGACTATCCGTTTTGAACGTGAAAAGCCCAACGACCCACCAGATGTTCTTCGGATAGGGCTCTTCGGTCCAACAGGCGTTGGGAAATCGGCCTTGGTCAACTCTATGAACTTCGCCACTATGGACAAGAACGAACCCGGATTTTTTTGGAAGAGCATTGCCCCAGAAGGGTACAGCGATG